GGGTGCAGGTCGGGGGGTGCCGCAAGCCGCGTGGCATCCGCTGCGGGATGCAGTTCTCCTGTGCTCAGTACACCAGCTGCAGACCGGTTGCAGGGCTCTCCGTGGGCACTGAGGTGCCTGTGCTGTCCTGTCCGGGCAGCGCTGCGGTTGTCATGGGGGCTGCAGTATTTGGCATCTCCAGAGGCCCGGGCTGTGCCACCCGCAGTGACTGGCTGGGCTGGGACTGCATGGGGGCCACAGGGTGACATCCCTCCCATGCTCAGACTGGTGTCAGACACTTTGCAGCCGCCTTGCCTCGTGTGCCTGACAGGGTGTGAGGTCCTCTTAATCTGGAGTGCATGGGCTCTTTCTAGGGCCCATTCCTGTGCACGCTGCCAAGGGCAGCAGGGGTGGTGTGAGAGGGTTGGAGCAGCCGAGCAGTAGCCAGGTGCCTGCATGCTGCCACACAAGATGGGGAGCAGGGTCCCCCGCAGCCGCTGGCACAGGGTGAGTGAGACACCTTGGCCCTGAGGATGACTGATATTCCTCCCCTTCTTGTTCCAGTCAGCACTGGGCTTTGAATACAAGGGTGAGGTGGAGAAACACTCATCCCAGAAAGGCAAGTGCATGGGCATGTGTGGCCCCTTGACACTTTGCCCAGCTTCTCTTCTGCTTCCAATATCCTGCACTGTCTGCCGTGGCACAGTCTCCTTTGTCGTCCTCATCCTGGTTCGGATTCCTGTTCCCAGTCAGTCACCCTTGCAACCCCATCCATTGCTGTCCTGTCACTGCCCTTCTGTTGTACATTCCACTTGGGTCTGTGTTTTGCTTTGATGGAAACCATGTTGTGGTGAGCAGACACCCCCACATGCACCCCACCACATGGCTGATGCTCCACTTCCTCTAAAAGTCTTTCTGAGGGAGAGTTCCAGAGGGAACCCAAGCACTGTATGACCTGAGAAGTGATTTGTGAAAAAAATGGCATATAAGAAAAAGGCACAGCAATGGCTGTGGAAACAAAAAGATGGACAGCACCCAAACCTCTGCAGAATTTTAGAGATGATTCAACCAAACTTTAACATACACATACAGGAAGCTATATTCATTAAGAACTTTGCAAGAACTGAAACTGGAGATATTTTAAATATTCTGCAACTGAAAGAAAGTGAGGGCATGGTCTGTAACTGTTTCAGGTAAATGTGAGGAATACTGCATTATCAACAAATCAAGAACTGAGGCATCTTTGTTTGAAAGGAAACTATAAAAGAAAGAAGATGTTTTGAGACTTTCTTGGTTGATTTTAAATTAATGAATCACATGCAGTTGTGCTATGTTAATGTATTCCCATATAAGAGACTGTCTAGATTGTAGACATGGGCATTCATCTGGCTGTGTAAAACCACAGAAATCACTCCGGACAAAATGAAAATGTTAGAAGTGGGGTAAGGTTAAGGTTAGGGTTAGGGTTGCATTGTTTTTCATAAAAATGTGTCCATACTGGAAACTCCAACATCAAGGTAACAGTCATAAAATCTGTGGTTGCTGAAAACAGCATCCTAAAAGGTCCATTTCTTCACGGTCTAATGGGTAAATAATAGTATACTCAAGATAAGTTTAAGGTATCTCTAAGACTTACAGATTCATCCTTAAGTGCCTGGTCTTCTGTGAAACAGCTATTCTTGATGTTTTCATATGTATTTCTGTAGATCACCATCTTCGTGGATTGATAAGGCTGAATTTGCTGGAGAAGCCCCAGCACATTCCTGTGAAGTGCAGACCTGTAGGAATAGGGTCAGGGAACTCGGGGAGGTAACTGTGCTTTACTCCTCCTGAAGGGCAGAATTTGGAAACACAGCTGGCAGAGCAGGTCTCTGAAAAGGAAAGGTCTCTGCACAGCCAGCAGCTAGGAGAGAAGCTGAAATTTCTCAGGACATCAGCCAATAAACAAGGTGGTCCTTGGAGTAAAACTGAACACAGCTGAAGTGGTTAATACATGACTAGTTTTGATGACGAAGAAGAGGAGGCGCAAGGAAAATGTGCTGTGCCTCTGTCACATAAAGGCTGAGTGTGCCAGAGACAGTCTGGGGCTGCATGTCTCCAGCAGGGTGGGGTTCAGCTGTGGCTGCAGCCTCCAGAGGCGGCGATTGCTGCGCAGAGCTTCCCTTACGCTGGAGATCCCCGTACTCCAAACGTAAGGCCTACAACGAACCTTCACCATTTCCTCTGTACTTCTAAGGGCTGAATATACTTACTCACAGACCTTTCAGAGACTGGCAGACCACAGGTTGAAATTCTTGCTCTGGAGATGCACAAGTGGATGGGTGCCCAGGCTGTCAGTGCCCAAGCCTTGCCCTGGCTGTGTGTCCTTGGGTGGCTGAGCTCCTACTGCTTCCCCAGCTGCCCTTGGCATGTCTCCTTTCTCCCTGCCTTCTTGGACTGCTGTGTCTCCTGCTGTCCACAGCCCTCAGGTTCTTGTGCTGCCATGAGCCACACTTGCCCTGTGAACCCATTCCCATGGGCCCTCTTCCTCAATGCCCGTCATGGTGCTCCCTGCCATTTGTTCTGTTCCCTCCAAACTCTTTGCTTTTTCTAGTGTTTTCCATCGTCCTTGCTGCTTTTCCTCCTTCCTGGTGCTCCTCCCCAGTGCTGCTCCCCATCTTTACCCCCTTCCCTCACCAGCCCCATGCTTGGGGCAGCATTTCACTCTGTGCACCTCTTCAGATTACTCCAAGGGCTTTGGTGGCCGTTACGGTGTGGAGAGGGACAAGGTGGACAAAGCAGCAGTGGGATTCGACTACAAGAGCCAGGGAGAGAAGCACAACTCTCAGAAAGGTGAGCTGGGGGAGCCCAGAGCAGCAGACAGTGCTGGGCCCAGAGCCTGGGACTGTGCCCGCTGGGGCCATGGGGAACTGTGCTTGCTTTTGGCAACCTGCTGCATGGATGGTGGGAAAGCTACGGGGAGAGGTTGTGTGCCCACTGCTTGCAGCAAGGGAATGGGTCAGGTGAGGAAAGCCATCAGACAGTGCACGACTGCTGGAAAACATTCAGGCTAAATGAAGTGGAATGGTAGATCTCTCTGGGCACAGGGATCTCCAGATCTCCAGGTATTGCCAAAGGAAGGGTGCAGGGAAGGCCCGGGTAGGGGTTAATAGCAGGTGACATGTCCCAGGGAGGAGGGAGGGCTGTTGCTGCAGCCATCAGTGTGGAAGTCTGGCCTTGCTCCATGTCCTTCTCTAAGTCCTGGGCAGGGAAAACAAGTGCCCTTGTGTGAAGAGCCTGAGATCACAGTGCTGCCACTTTTATCTTTCCCTCCTTTTTTTGTTCTCTTCCATGTCATGATCTGGATCCCTGTGGCTGAAGACTATTCTGTGGGCTTTGGTGGGAAGTTTGGGGTCCAGAGGGATCGTCAGGACAAGAGTGCCCTTGGCTGGGACCATCAGGAAGAAGTGCAACCCCACACATCCCAAACAGGTAGGGCAGTGCCAGAGGTGGCAGCACAATTTTCTTGGAGCACACGCAGACCTAGAGCTAGGTCTAGGTCCAGCTGGTGAAAACTAAATGCATACAGCATGTTGTGGAGCAGCTGGGACTTTGTGAACCCCCAGAGCACAAGGGTGAACTCTGCCAGAGGAGGTGCCTGCTTGGGTCTGTGGGAGACATTGAATGCGAATCCCTCAGTCAGGCTTCCCAGACTATACTGTGTGTTCTGGGAGGTACATTCCTGACCATAAGCTCATTCAGAACATGAGCACATGGGAATGAGGCAAAGCAGCTTCCAGGGTTGGCTTTACTGTATGTTTAACTTCAGTGAACATGGCCACATCACACTCATATGGGAGGACTGGGTTCTCACCTCAGTGCCTTGGGAGCAGCTTTGCCAGCGTACAGCACTTTGATGAAGGGGCTGAAGGATTAGTCTTAATAGCTACTGTCCAGAGCATTCTGCATGTATTACCTCTGTTTAGTTCCATAAGATGCAGACAAAGCTAACTCAGTTCTCTGGTCACAGTGTACTGAAGTTGGAGTGCTCACAGAATAAATTGTAACATAACCTCATTTTTTCCATACAGACTATGCCAAGGGGTTTGGAGGCCGTTATGGGGTCCAGAAGGACAGAGTAGACAAGGTAAGACTGCATGCTGCAGCCTGCAGTTGCTTCCTGCTAATGACTGCTCTCTGTTCTTCAAGAGAATAGGCATCCCAGGCAGAGGTGAGGTCCCAGCACTCAGCATGCAGCTATTGCAATGGTGAGGGGCTGGCCTGGTTTCAGTACCAGAAGGTGCAGAGGAATGTGGCTGGAGGAGACCAAAATGGAAGGAAGAAAGAGTTTTTTCCATTCTCAGCTGGTTTTGAGTCATTTCGCTCTCAGACTGAGCAGTCATACACCTGCTTTCTCTTGGGGCAGGATTTAATACAGAGCCAGTGAAGAGCTTTCTAAGGGCATGAGACTGCTCTCCTGGATATTTAGCACCATCTGAGATACTGGGAGTGTTCTGTCCTGCTGCCTGCCATCCCTCCCACAGGCCCTGTGTGTACCTATACAGTCAGGATGAGCAGCAATAGCTGCTTGGAGATTAAATTTTGTGAGAGTGCAGCCTTGTGAGAAGTCTGAGAGGCCACAGGCTACTGCAGGGTGCAGCAACTGTCTCTTACACAGGAGAGATGCTGGAGCAGACTGGAGACCTGTCTGGCGTCATGTCCGCAGCACTGGCTGGCGGGTGCTGGTTGTGCAGAGAGCAGTGTGTGTACAGAGTGGTTCTTGCCTTGGACTGCCTCCAGCAAGACGGTGGTATTGCTGTGGTGTGGCTGCCATTCCTCTGGCTAGTCTTACTCAAGGCATAAGGTGTGTTAGCAGCTGTCACACCCATACATAAACAAGGCTTCCCAGAAGCTGGCTTGAGTCTTTGGGCCCTCAAGAGCCAACTTGAGACCTCCTCAGTCTGTCCAGTATCTGACGGATCTGTGACCTTTCTGGTATCTGGCTCCTTATCCCCTTACGCCACTCACCAGCTCTGTGTATGGCTTTGGCCATGAGTGGCTGGCCCCACATCACTGCCTTTCTCTGCTGGTGATACCTGGCCATTCCTCGTGGGGCTGTCTGCAACTCGTCAGCTTCTCTGGTATTTGTTACCTCCTGCAGGTTTTTCTGTCCTGTCCAGGAGCTTATGTTCTGCTTGGTAGTGCTGCAGCTTGGGCCAGGGCCTAGTCATCTGCCTGCAAACCTTAAAAAACCAAACCAGCAGGGGTGGCATTATCAGGGATCAGCCTTGCATGAGAACAGGCCATCCAGTTTGCTGGTTCAAATTTTCTGTCTGGGCTGAACCCAGGCAAAGGCTCACCTACAGCCGAAATGCCAACTGTCTCAGGCACTTGAATTAACCTTGTGCCTTGGCAGGCTACCTTGCAAACTTGTTCAGGAAAGGAGGTCTTGCCAGGGGATGGTGATCTGCATCTTAGGAGATAACCTAAAAGATGAGAATCCTAGATGGTGATGGGGCTCTGGGGCATTTAGAGGAGTACCTTCTCTGAACCATACTTGTCTGTTATTTGGCACAGTGGTAGTGGCACAGAGTTGTGCCTGGTACAGTACCAGCGCCAGTGTGCTCAGGAGCTGGAGAAAGCCACTGAGGACCTTTCTGCATGGCTCTGAGCCAAGGAAGGTCATAAACACATGCCTGTGACAACTGAGCATTTTCCTTTCCATGCTGCCTGTGTAGGCTGGGCCAGTACCAGAGTGGGAGTGGCATCCTGCCCATGGAAGAGATTAGCATGGCCTATGAATTTAAGAATAGCAAATGGAGGTGCCTTGTGAAAAGGCAAGGCACCATATGTGGCATGAAAAGCATGAAAAATCAGGTGAGCATTTGTGCAAAAGTCAAGGCTGTGGGTTATTTGAGAAGCAGGGCGCAGAGAGGGGATAAGCAGTTCCTGATCAGCTCAAAGTGGAACAAGAATTTTTGCATTTTGAGAATTTTGAAGCATAATCAAAGATGCTAAAAATAAGGACATTTGGGCAAGTACCTAAGTTCTTGGTTGTCTGGTTCTTGGGCACTGGAGCAGTGCTGAACTCCTTGCTCCAGAGCAGAGCACCACAAGGCAATCTTAACACACTCAGACAGGGTTTTGAACTCTGTCGAGTTCAGCTCTTACACTAAGACTCCTAAACTTAGATGCTGTCATACAAACATCGTGTCTAAGCCTCTGCTGTGGTCTGTGCAGACGTGGTTCTGAGCCCGCAGTGCTGCTTGCCTGCTCAGGTGTGTGTTCTTCGAGGAGAGCAGAGCTGCCCTCTGGGCTGCGCTGGCTGCAGGAGCTGGGGCACCCAGCCCGTTGATGACACCTGCAGGCAGAACCCTCAGTGCAGCTGTAGCAGTCTGAACGCTGGATCCTACCCGCAGGTTCCTTTTTTGTACCGTTTTCTCACGGAAGTAGATAAACCCCCTCTACCTTGCTTTCTTTTTGCTGCAACCAGGTGCTGTCACCAGTTTAGCTGTCTCTTCACACCTCATAAAGCCAGCATTATCTCAGATGTTCACACACATTTTCAGCTTCCATGTTTTCCAGCCTGTGCTGCTCTGTACACACACTGCAGGCAGCAACCTGCACGTTCCTCACAGTTAGGCAGCTGCAGCCGAGCATCCAGTAGGGAACAGTTTCCATCCTCATTCCCTGGGAGTGCAGGCGATGGGTGCCTTGGGGGTCTGGGCCTCAGGAGGTGCAGACTGCCAGCCATCCGCTCAGCTCTTTGCCACGTTACCAGTGAGTGTGTCTGCCTCGAGTGCCCAGCCTTGCTGTCCACACAGCAGTCGTCTTGCTGCTGTGCAGGCTCCTCTGCTTGGCTCCACACAGGCTTCTCAGCACCCCTCTAGCAGGAACAGCCCTTTGACTGGAGGGCAGCAGGCACTCCCGCAGGGCAAGGAGGCACCAGGAGAGCAGGGCTGCAGCCAGCAGCCTCCACAGGGCTTCCCAGACACAGCTGGGAACAAAGCTTGCAGTCACCAGGGGCCAAACCAAATGGGATCTTGGCACTGGCCTTGCCTGATGAGCTGGACACTTCATTCACTTCCTCTTGTTCTATTTTATTAGCGAAACCACGCCAATATTAATTTAGTCATTTTATTAAGCAAGCAGCAATAAGTAAAACAGCGCTGGGCGGCCGGGGAGTTTCCTCACTCCACCAACGGCGCGCAACAACCCCCCCAAAGTCTCTTATTCTATACTCTCCTTTTTTCTGGTGTAACGTATCTCTTTCTTCCTTCTGCGGCTGCGTCAGCTGTTGCTAGGGGGTCCTTTCTGCCTTCCAGTGGTCTTGAGGGAGGGGGTTGTATCATTCTTGGTGAGTGTTTCTTTACACACATGATTACCCAACCTAACCCAAATTTTCCACCCCTATTTTCATTGTTTACAACACAGAATAGCTCTATGTTCAAAGCAAGCAAGCATGGGATTTCAAACAGACTGCTCTTACAGCAAGTTCTGTTGGTTAATCTTTAAGCAGGCAAAATGAGTTTCAAAGCAAGCAAGAAAAACAATTAAAAGAAAACAATTAAACAATCAAAGTTTGATTAAGAAACTACAGGTTATCCATTACACTCTTACAGAGCGCTGCTGGCTTTGATGAGATGGCAGCTCCTACCTCCTCATATGAGAAGGCAAGACCACTGGAGGCAGGTGAGACAATGGAGTACCAGCCCTGGGCGTGGTGGGAAGCTGTGGGCCTCATGATGCCTCTGTGGCAGCACATCGGCAGGCATGTGCCGTGGTGGGATGTGGTTTTAACCTGTGAGCAGGGGCAGGATAAGGTGGCTGAACCACAGGTTTCTCTGGGAGAGGCAGAGGTCTGGGTTTCTCCTGGCTGCTTGAGTGGAGGAAGGGAGCTATTTGGCAGGCTTGATCAGCTGTCTTCTCCACAGGAGCTTCCAGCGGCACCAGCAGCCTGCGGTCACGATTTGAAAGCCTGGCTAAGGCAGCAGAGGAGAGCAGAGGGCAGGCAGAGGGGGAGCGGGCGAGGCGGCCGGCTCGGGAGCGCCAGGCAGCTCGGCAGGAGGTGAGCCGTGCCCACCTTGCCGTGTCCCCCAAGGCTGGTGAAGCAGACTTCTCCTCAGGGCCGTGCAGCTCCACACCCTTCTACCTGATCTCCTTACAGTAACCTCTTGCCTAAACTGCTTCCCTGCAACTGCCAGGAGGTGCCAGTGAACTTCACAGCTGTCACCGGATTTTCCCTTTTGGCACACAGACCAGGACACGCCTGCACCCCGCCATGGCCACCTGTGCCTTGGTCTGGGGTCCTTCTTGCCTCTAGTGCCTGGCAGACACGGTGCAATCACTTCTCCCCGGTGTCACCATCCCAGCAATCTTGTGTTCAGGGTTTTCCAAACTGGAGATTGCACCCAAACCCTCTCATTTACAAGACCTCCTTTTGCATCATGCTCAACGTGCAGATAAGGTTTCGCCATTAAAGCACGCTCTGACATGCCTTCCTC